CAATCTTGACATCCTTTGTCTTTTTAGGCTCTTGCTTCTTTTGAGCTTCTGGTTTCTTCTTTTGCTCCTTGTTCATCTGCAGAGTACTATTTGTCTGCTGAGTGGTCTTTGTCTGCTGATGAGGCTGTACTATTGCGTTCTTGAGCTTTTGCAGGTCCTTCTTCTTCTTTTTGCCACTCTTGTCTCCTTTGACATTAGATAGTGTGGATTGCTTTTCTGCCTTCTTTACAGACTGCTCTGGCTTGATTGACTGACTTTTGGTGGCATTCTCATCTTTTGCAGCTGGCGGATTACTACTCTCGAGAATGGGTTTTGTCACAGATGGCTTCCATGACAAGTGTGCATCCTGCTTACTTCTCGCTTGTACTGGCTTCAACAGCTCTCTAGACATGGCCAAACAGTTGTTCACGAGACGATCTCTGTCTGTGTGTGCTGCTGCTTTCATATACACAAATCTCAATCCTACTTGTTCACATTCTAGTGAGGCTTTGTAAATCACATGCAGCAATGGCTCCAATTTCTCAAAATCAAGTGCAGATTCGAGATTATTGAGATCTTGGGGCAGAAACAGCTATCATCAATACAGATACCGGAAGCAGCTGTTGGCATGTCTTTCCTGCCTTGATCAAAGCATCCTTTGTGGGTGAAAAGTAGAGCACATCTGACAATCGTCTTAGGAGTGGCAATTGTTGGTCATCCAAGAACTCAAATCCAGGATCTAGTAGTATTTTGTCACAGAGAAAAGTGATGAGTTTGTCACTTGTGATTCCACGCTTGAACAATGGCATTCCAGCCAAGAGCAAGAAATAACAATTCTTCGCCACATTCAGATCCAGTATGATAGATTCTATCGTTGTATCAATGAGTTTCTCCAGATGCAGTTGCTGCGTGTAGCCATTCAAGACTCCAATGGACTCCAAGATGAGAGACAGCTGATAGACACTAGGAACTTTCATGGGTTTGTGACAGACCTTACATCAACAATCCTACCAACACCAGTTGCTTAGACATCAAGTCAATCCACTTTTGATCAAGCTTCAACGATTTCAGATCCTTGCACAGAAACTGCAAACAGCAGAATCTACAGTGCTCCTCTCCCTTCTCAATCTGTCCCATGACTGCATCAATGGTCACTATGATCAACCAAGGAACCTTGTGGAAACAACCCAAACGATGCTTTCAGTCCCTCCCTTGCAGCTTCAACGTCTTCAGGAGTGTCAGACTGCAGCAGCTGTGAGAGTACATCAGCCACTCTATAAGCCATCGTTGGTGCTTCCTTGGACAATGCAATCAGTTGCTTGATGCTCTTCTTTCGGACTTGGGGATCTTCATCCTCACACAAGTCCAGAAATGTATCCATAGCTCTGTCCATGTGGTCTTTAAAGTATTTAAAGTACTTGCAAATCGAATCCACAGCCAGCAGTCGGAGTTCTGCAGTGTGCCAGCTGGAAGCACTCAATACAACCAACCAGCTATCCACATAGTCCTTGCTTGTGCTCTTTGAGACTTCAAGATCAATCAACTTGGTGCTGGCTTCGTAAAATTGCGATTTTGCATCAGTCTCGCTAGTCAGCATATGAGGAAAGAGTAAAAAGGCAAATTCAATGCAATCATTAAAATGAGACAGGTTACAGAGATACGACAATGAGACGTGACTGGTCTGGACATGTCTCACATAGAATCTGTACTTAATGGCAGCCTTTGGGCAAAAGATCAACAAGAGCCATTGCACAAAAATGGAAAAAGTGGTGGAGGAGCAGGGAATTGAACCCTGGGCCTCATGCATGCTAAGCATGCGCTCTACCCCTGAGCTACACCCCCTTCCACGGAGGAGCAGGCAGTTGTACGCACACAAACCTGAACATTTCTGTAAATTCTCATTGTGTAAACAACTACTATTTGATGGGATTGTCCCAGATGCTGATTTTCTGGAATGACATCGCGCTTGGCTCGTTTTTGTTGTTTCCACGGTGCTGCCATGCTGGAGCCACTCTGTCATGCCACAATTCTCATTGTAAATGGTCTGTAGGCTGCCCTGACGACTGTGCGGAATAGATGGCATGTGGGAACGCGAGATCGCCAAGCACGGACTATTCAGAACCACTACAGAGATCTACTCCACAAATCGTCTGTCCTCTGTATGATAGTGATGTAGGATAGAAGACATGGTAGGATCATGTCGTGTATTCAGAATTGTGAGAGTGTGTTTACTAGCTGACTTGTAAGCAAGGCTTTGAGAACAGCTGTCAGAGGAATCGTGATCGAGAGAATCGAGCCGTTGATGACACACTTGGTGGCAGATTAGAAATGCTCGTGCCAGATAAACTCTCCTGGAAGTGGCAGTCTCTTCCACACACTCACTAGTTCTCAATCCTAAGCCAATCTCTAGGAGACTGCATGACGGATTGTCTGTGGAGAGTGAACAGCCATCCCATGGACAAACATCGTGGATCTGTTTCCACGACTGTTGCCAAACTCTGGAGTCTGTGTAAAAGTGATGAGAGTACGGAGACTGTGCTTTGGCAGACCGTATGGACAGATACTGTGATGTGGCAGACTGTGGTGGATTGAGAAGGCAAGCTGAAAGAGTGCAGATGGGAAAGCGTGTGAAAAGTCAAAAGGAGACAAGCGACACAAAGCAACATAGCATCTGTATGGGTAGCAGGGTTGAAGAGACTGTGGAGTGGATTTGGAATCACAAAAGAGCTAAAACATCAAATGCATGAGAGACTGCAATGACAGCACTGAATGATCTATGCAGATGCTGCTATCAACAGAGTGACCTTACAGAGCGTGCAGTGTCGCTGTTCAAGCATGCAAGTGACTCGAGAGGCAAAAGTCAGACAAGAGTGATCAGGGCTGTCAGATTGGAGTTCAAGAGACTGTGCTTTGTCTGTAGAGTGATTCGATGCGGTATGGAGGCAAGACGAGTGGCATGTGCGAGTTTATGGATGACAGACTCTTGAAACGCATCCAAACCAAGACAGACTCACAAAGCTACTGTATCGAAAGATGGTTGTGGAGTGTGATGTTGTGTTTATGTACCTGCAGTGTGTCAGCGACCGATCTGTGGGAATGTTGTGGCTCAAGTGTCTGGGATTCAGTCAGACGAGTGTAGGACTATGCACAGAGGATCACAGCAGCATCAGTAGCATTTGTAGATACTGTTTGTGCAGTATTTGTGTGGTCTAATACTCTGGGCTGGACTTGAGACTGTCGATGCAGACGATTGCCTCTTCTGGACCAGATGCTGCTCCAGACGAGGTGATTGATAGATTCTGCATTGACGTGGCGGTGTTTTGGCTGTTTCTTGTCGCTGAGTTTCATGATTTTATCTCCGCTGCGGCGTGCAGCACTTGCCCTTGCCACGATGAAGAGATTGGGCTTTCTTCTTATGTCTGCTGGCACTCTTGTTGCAAACTCTCATCCAAACGTGAACCGTTTAGGGTCCCACAGTGCTCTCGCTCCTCTGGCTGCATAAGCTCTGGACGTGAGATGCGCTGCACAAGAAATGGTAGCCTTCCTGATCCCATTCCATATCCACCCTGCACCTTTGCGTGGATCCAGAGCTCTCAGCGGCTGTTCTTGTATTTCTCCTGACGCCAGTGCGAGATGTGCCCTCGCGAAGATCCGCCCGAGACCCTGGACAGTCTGAACCTTGCTGGAAAAGATGTATCCTTGTTGATGGTGGCCAGTCGTTCAAGTGTTCCCCACGCGTCTCACTCTGACCTGGGGAACGTGTTTCGCGTATGCCCTAGCCATCGTTGGTCCCAAAGCACTCACAGTCGTCGCTGTTTCTTCTATGCTCATGCTCCATCTGTAGCTTGCTCTACTCCCCTCCAGGTACCTGTCGCTCCTGCTTCTCTCCAAGTTGATGCTACTCCAGTAGCTGATGTCCAAAAGGTTTACATTAACCCAGCAGCCGATCCCCAAGAGCACGCTGCCAGGTATCTGGCTGATACTCGAGAATGTCAAGTACAAGAGGCTTATATGCCTGTGGTAAAAGCCCAGGAGCCTGTCGCAGTTTACGGTCGAGATCCTTCTGATGCCATGCAGATGCCCAAGGTGTGCCTGCACTTGCTCTTTCGGACATCCCGTCACCAATGTCCTGGAGCCAGCTGCTGTTGAAGTCCAAGTACTTGCCGTTGTTGGTGTCCAAGAGCCTGCCACGGTTGTCCAAGCAGCTGGTGTTCTCAGGAACCGTCCAAGAATGATCAAGCGTCCAAGTTGCTCTAGGACCGGCATTGGATAACAAGGACCAAGTACTTCCTGCTCAGCAAGGTCAATGGCAGTCTGCAGCTGGGGATACTCAAGAAACCAAGGAGATCGAGCCAGTCCAAGCCACTCCATTGCCATGGCTCTTTGTGAGAGAACCACTGGCAGAACTCCAGGTCCCAGCTGAAGTCGGGCACATCTTGGTGCCAGTGATGGCAGAGGAAGGGCAAAGACGTGCTGTCCGCTCCTGTGCAAGGCCACTGGTTGAACGAAGACGCAAGAGAGGCAAGAGAGCGACCAGAGAGGTGGTGTAGAGCAGCCAGGAAACCAAGAGAAGTTGCAGCTAACCAGGAACAGCGATATGCACTGGGAGTGTGCCATCGTATGGCTAGGGCAGATGTACACCAAGAGACTTGCATCAGACGTCTGTGTGCGCTGCTTTTGATTGCAAATGCTGTACAAACATTGACAACAGAGCGACAGTAGTCTGGATAGATGGGAGGCGGCCGCCAAGAAGATACTAACTAGGTCCTCCCAAAACCATGCGCCATGGGACGCAGCCCTGCATCGGCGGGGCGAGGAGACGGCCGGTAATGCATCTTAAATATATGTGCTCGACATTCTCTGCTTCACCCGGTATTCGAGCCTTGCCCTCTTATACCGGGATATCTTGGAGTTTGGCACATCCGCACAGCTTTAGGTGGATGTCTGGACTGCCAACACTTGCAATAAACATCCATTGCACTGGCAAAAAAGATCTTGAAGAGCAGATCTGGAAAAAAGAGAGAGGCTAGCCGGGATCGAACCGACGATCTCCTGATTCGTAGTCAGACGCCTTACCATTGGGCCATAGCCCCTCTTGACTCTGAGCAGACCTGGTTTATCAGTAAGCTAAACTGTGATTTTTCTGTTAGATTTTTCTTGACTTCTTGCTCGAGTCTCTACGAAATCTCGTAGATGGTGAGTGGATTCAATGGCTGGTTTACTGACGGATAAGCGCAAGCAAAAATTTGGATCCATTCACCTACTTTCAACTGCAATACCTCTTGCTCCTCTTCCATGATGACATCTTGTCCCACATACTGTCCAATGTCACGCTTGAGATAACGGTTCAAGGTCTCTTGCTGTGATTGAAGAACGGTTTGGATCTGGTGGTCTGGATCTTCCAACATCTTGAGTTCGTAAGCCACATTGTCGGTTGGTTGCAAGTTGGCTTTCTTCCTGAGACGCTGGACTCTATTGACGATCTCACGAGCAAGACCCTCTTGGATGAGAGATTGATCGAGCTCAGTGTCCAGAATCACAAGGACATCAATGGTTTGTTGAGCGTGGTAGTTCTTTTTAGATTCATCAAACTTGCGGACGACTTTGAGATGTGTGTCGTTGAGAGAGAAGCCTTGGATCTTGAGTTCGTTTGTCTTGATGAACTCTTGGATCTCGTCGACAGAGACAGAGGACAGCGACTTTTTGATGATCTGAGCATCCTTCTTGAAGCTGGTGCCCAATTGCTTTTGATCAGGAATGAGTTCGTAAGTGACACCGTAAGCCTGTTCTTCACTCGTGACAGTGACAGTTCTGACGTTCATCTCCTACTGTGAAATCAAGTACTTCTTGGATATAGGTTTCAAGAGAGCGAATGTCTTCGTGGTACTGTGGATCTGGATGAATGATGATGATTTCTCTCAAAGGTGTCTTGAGAGAGAGCGTCTTCTGTTCTCTGATCACACGCCCAAGTTCAATGACAGCCTGCATTCTGCCAACAGCACGTTCAATGTCAGCGTTAAAGTACTCACTCTTGACTTCTGGGATCATCAAGAAGTGGATACTTCTGTTGTCTTCTTCAGATGGTGGCAGGTAGTGTCTCAGGTTCTGGTACATGCTTTCTGTCAAGAATGGTGTGAATGGGGCCATGAGTTTGCACAAAGTCAACAAGACTTCAAACAGGCAGTTCAAAGCTCTGTTGGCGTCTTCGATGCCGTTTTCACCCTTCAAACGCTTTCTGTTGAAGCGAATGTACCAGTTGGTGAGTGTATCAATCGTTTTCAAGAGTTGTGGTGTCACAGCGTAGAGCTTGTACGCTTGCATCTCTTTTCTAGTCGATTCAATCAAACTCTGAGTGGTTGCAAGAATCCAGCGATCCATGACGTTGCTGTCCTTGAGATCCATGTGTGGATTGTAGGTAAAGTCGAATCCGTGTTCAGTCTTCAGCAGTTGGAGTTGATTGAAGAAGAAGCGGTAGGAGTTGAACCAAGGCAAAAAGACTTTGGCAATCAAGTCTTTGACACCTTCCTCTCTGAATCTGAGGTTTTCAGCTCTGACAGCAGGGGAAGTCATGAGATAGAGTCTGAGAGTGTCGGCACCGTATTCGTTCAAGACCAAGTTTGGATCTGGATAGTTCTTGAGAGACTTGGACATTTTCTTGCCATCGCTAGCCAGAACGAGGCCATTGACGATCAAGTTCTTCCAAGCAGGTTTTCCAAACAAATGCGTAGACAAGACCATGAGAGTGTAAAACCAACCACGGGTTTGATCGATACCTTCAGCAATAAAGTCAGCAGGGAAAGTGCGCTGGAACTTTTGCTCGTTCTCGAATGGATAGTGCTGTTGCGCATAAGGCATGGATCCAGATTCAAACCAGCAATCAAAGACTTCAGGGATACGCTTGAGCATTCCTTTGCCTTTCTTAGATGGGATTTCGAGATGGTCAATGAAATGCCTGTGAATGTCAGTGATCGTTTGATCGCCAGTCAAGTCACGCAATTCTTGGATGGAGCCAACAGCGACAATCTCCTCCAGATCGTCAGAAGCCCAAAGAGGGATAGGTGTTCCCCAGTATCTGGTTCTAGAAATGTTCCAGTCACGAGCGTTGGCAAGCCAGTTGTGGAAACGCTTCTCTTTGACAAAGTCAGGAACCCAGTAAGTTTGCTTGTTGTTCTCGACCAGTTTGTCAACGATATTCGAGACTCTCACGAACCAAGAAGGCACAGCTCTGTAGATGAGCGGTGTGCCAGAGCGGTAGCAGAAGGGATAAGAGTGGGAGAGTTGAGACTGACGAATGAGTCTCCCCTTTTGCTTGAGATCCTTTTGGATGAACTTGTCAGCTTCCTTGATGTTCATGCCCTTGTATTCTGGGATCTCATCAGTGAACTGACCACTGAGATTCAATGGCACTGGAATGTCTCCCTCACCAGTGACGATCTTGTGTTCGATACAAACTCTGAAATCGTCTTCACCAAAGCCCGGTGCTTGATGAACGATACCTGTACCGGAATCATCTGTGACGTACTTGTCAGAGACGACTCTGAAAGCGGTTGCCTTTCTGTCAGCAAAGTAGTCAAACAGAGGCACGTACTTTTTGCCAACGAGATCCTTGCCTTGGTACTTTGCCAAAACCTTGAACTTGGCTTTCTTTGGGTCCTTGTACAAAGTGGTCAAGAGCTTCTGAAGCAAGATCCACTGCTGACCAGATTCCTCATCCAAGATCTTGACGTATTCAAAGTCTGGATTGACACACAACGCAAGGTTGGAAGGCAAAGTCCAAGGAGTGGTGGTCCAAGCAAGGAAGGCAGTAGATGGATCTTCTTCCAATGGGAAAGACACAACCACCGCTGGATCAATGACATCGCGATAGTCCAAGTTGGCTTCAAAGTTGGAAAGAGAAGTGGCAATGCCCATAGAGTAAGGCATGATGCGGAAACCGTGGTACACTTGATCCTTTTCAAACAATTGCTTAAACACCCACCAAACAGATTCCATAAATGTTGGATTCAAGGTTTTGTAGTCGTTTTCAAAGTCAATCCATCTGCCCATGCGCTTAACGGTTGTTTGCCATTCAGAGGCATAGGTCATGACAATAGAACGACATTGTTCGTTGTAATTAGCAATGCCCATTTTCTCAACATCCTGCGGTCCTTTGATGTTGAGCCTCTTGTCAATCTCATGCTCGACTGGAAGACCATGCGTGTCCCAACCGAAGCGACGTTCGACATAGTGACCAGTCATCGAAGCGTATCGAGTCACCACGTCTTTGATCGTGCCAGCTAACAGGTGACCATAGTGAGGCAAGCCAGTGGCAAATGGAGGACCATCATAGAAGGAAAAGGGTGGTCTGTTCTCTGACAACTTGAGTTGCGTCTTGAACGCATCGATTTCTTCCCAAAAGGCCAAGATTCTCTCTTCTTCCTTTGGAAAGTTGAATTGATTTGGAACTAGGCTTAGCACAAGTACTGGTAGGAATTTCCTTCATTTTTTTCAGCAGTCTTGTTGCTCGAATTTCGGCAAAGTTTTGCAACTGCACCGCGTAGAAGCACATCCGGTTGCCACTGTCTTTAGGCTGTAAAAACAGCTACAGAGTGCGTGCCACAGTTCATCCAGAGTGCGGTCTAGAGTGCATCCAAGATCTGCCATGATTCACGATACACAGCCATCATACAGTGCTTTATCTTTGCCAGAATGCATCAGGCAGCATACCATCTCTAATAGGCAAGCAAAGAGTCGTCTACGCTCAAAGCGTGCAAGATCGACTCAAACCTACATGGCAAGCCAAGAGTAGCCCCTGCCACAGTCTTAAACCAATGGCAAGTCTACATAGGAGCCATGATCGCGCAGACTTCTCCTCAGTGTCCGACTGCTTTCAAGAAATGCTGGAGAGATGCTATCCAAATGTCGAGTCACTGCATGTTCTGATCACCAGAGAAATACTCAGTCAAGCGTCAACTAGAGAAGAGAGTGGGTCATGTAATGATGAGTCAGAGATCGAGTGGACAAAGGACTATGTGGTTGGGTATCACTCTCTGGAACTCAAGTGTGTATCCAGTGACAACCAAGTGGATCTAGTGCATGTGCTGATCAGAGACTGTCTCTTGAGCAAACAACCAAATGTGCTGACACTTGGCTATCGTCTGATTGGATCCACACTCAGAAACGACCATCCCAACCACCAAGTGATGCAAGTATGTGCTCAAGAGTGGCAAAAGCTGTTGGTGTTGATTGGCAGCAAGTGGATGTATCTGCTCCTCAAGTGTGGGATTTTCAAAACCATTGGATCTAATCAGATTCAGATTGCTGGACATCCCATCACAGATACCAAATCACTCAAGCGACCTAGTCAAGTGGAACGTATATCCAAAAAGATCAAATCACTGCATCTGTCAAAGATCCTTGTACCATGGTCCACAGTATTGTATGGCAAGCCAATCTACAGCAATGGTGCCATTGTCGTTGGATTGCCTCCAAAACACCCCATCCATCGTCCAAATCTTGTCAAAACCATCTTCCCTTTAGAGACACATGGAAAGCATCCCATCTTTGAGCTAGAGTATACTGGTGTGTCTCCAAGAGTGGAGAAAGCCAAACTAGTCGCTCAAATGGTTGCTGATCAGTTTCAAAAGCTGAATCTCAAATCCATCGTAGACAGACACACACCGCACAAAAGAGAGGGATCTGTGCTGGACCAATCGATTCCCATCCAGAACATTCAACAAATGGTATCAGAAGTCGTCAAAAAGCTCTGTCCAGTCTTTCTCTTTGCCAATGCAACCAACAGACAACAATTGCTACAAAACATTCACAAAATCTTGCTCTTGCGCAGATTTGAGACACTGTCGATGGAACAGCTGATCAAGAACATCAAACTCTCTCAGATCTCTTGGTTATCCAAAAAGATTTCAAAATCACATCCACCACAAGAGATACAGCGACGACAGACGTTCTTTTGTGAGCTTGTGTGGTGGTTGGTGGACTTTATCTTGTGCTTTCTGAAATCCAACTTTTATATTACAGAATCCAGTGTCCACAAGAACAGATTGTTGTTCTTTAGACACAAGACATGGCAGCAGTTGAACGGATCTACACTCAA